TAGCAATTTATTAAAGTTAGAATATTTTCAATAATTTGCTTATTTACTGTGCACTGAATGAAAAGAGAATAGAAATTTAGAATGCGTGTGCTCAACCTAATAGAAACTCTCATAGGACACGAATCATCTGTTAAAAAGAATGAACACCCATGATACTTTACCGAAAATATTTTCCAAATCAGAGCTGTAACTTTCGAACTACTGCAAATTTTATAGCGACACTCAAGGTCACGCACATTCAAATGGTGATAGAAATGAACTAAGAACGTAGATGTTGGAGATAAAGTCAGGAATAAATACACTGTACTCATAACCATCTATATATAAGTATGCTATTGCAAGCTGAAATGGGTTTTCAAAATGAGGGTGATGTTGCACGAGTTTTGTCAACACCTGTAGACTTTGCATTACCACGTCCTGTCTTTATTGAAATAGATTCATGACAATGGCCTTATTTGTTGAAGGGCCAATCGAATTTCGCAGTTATTATGTTTATGTCATATACTTCATTCAGTCGGGCAGTCAATCAACCAATCCATCGTTCAATCCGAAAATAATTTATTCGCTGTCCCACTTGCTCACATACATGCAACTACAATATTCTTTTCGGTTTTTTCAATATGCATACAAACAAATATGTGCAAACATTGATCAGTCCAAGTTTTTTGTTCCAGGAGTTGATTTTCCCCACTGCCTCTTCTGAAACTAGAACTCGTGATGAAATGGTATAGCTGGGGTCGAGATAAATTGCTAGGACATACATTACTCTGTAACATCAGTCTGATAACGTGCTTGTGTCTAGAAAGCGTGTATGCATGTGTTAACTATGTGATTTCAACCGAACGGTTTCGTTATTTACCTTTCCGAATTACGTCAAACTTGTCAAAGGTATATCTTATTTCAATTCAGTACTGGGTTCTTTATTGGATTAAACTTCTGTCCTGACTGCACGAATTATTGCAACACTGAGTTAGCGCTCTTCGAATCCTCTCTCCTCCCCCGCCCACTCAAAATACGTCCAATCCTTGTCCACCTTAGATATTATCATATTGGCTTACTATGCATTGTGAGTTTGACAGCTAATAGCGAGGTTCGCTTCATTGTATTTCGCTGTACGATACTGGTGATGATGTGGATGACATCGAATCCAACCTAGTATCGGTGACACACCTTCCCCCAGTTTCCATAACTCCAACCCCGTTTTACATTTCAGTTGGCTCGATGCAATTCCAATCTGTTCCACGGGAAAGACAGTTTCATCACTTTACGCGATCTTTTCCGTTGGGCTGAACGGTACCGATTGGCCACATGTGACCATGATGTCGGTGAATCGGTGCTTTTCGACTGGGATGGTTACTTGGCCGATCAGGGCTATTTGCTACTGGCCGGACGTGTGAGAAACCCGACCGAAGCCCGAGTGGTTGCAGAAGCTATTGAGGCCGTTTTTCGACGACCGATTTCTGAATCACGGTATGTACTTTTCAGCGGATATCTGATCGGGATTCACGCCAAATGTGGTCCTTGTAAAGATCGGTAAAATGTAGGATGTACTCGATGATTGAATCCCTCCTGTTGAGGCTAAAACCTTGAAAAGGTCATTTGTGACGCATTCGTCCGTTAGGGAGTCGTGAGCCCCTCCCCTAGGTTTCCTAATGTATAGTGCTAATACTCAGTAAGCTTTATCGCACTTGATTTTCTCAGTTCTCTCGATACTGTTTCTGGACCCATTTCACTTGTATTCAGATATCCCCTTCTTCCTCCGACTCTGTTGAGATGCATTCTCGATTTACAAGGTTTCATCTCTCGATACAATCGCACTTTTTGTTTTCTAATATTTTTCACCCAGGCTGTTCGATTTCACCTCGGAATCGTCCCCCGCCAGTTTGGAATTTCTCACACCGGTGCTTGGTTCACAGCCGGACGGTGAACCGCGTCGCCTACCCACAGGGTTTGAACACATTGTTTGGACCCGAGATATGCGGCGTCTACTGGTGCTTGTCGGTAATGCACTCAAATACCAAGAACCTGTCCTGTTGGTCGGTGAAACTGGGTGAGTGTTTGATTGTTCATTGTGTTTATCGACTCGTATAAGATCGTTAACTGAAACTGTACGCCTTGTCAGTAGTCGTTTCTTTTCTTTTATGAGTTTGGCCTTGTCACGTTACCACTTACTCAGAACTAGAACAACATATGAACAAAAAGTTTGCGGAATGTGTTCATAGGTTGATTGGGCGTGTTACTTCCCGGTTGCCCTGACCGAAATTGCGTGATAATCTTGAAGTCCCCACGCGAACACTTTGGCTAGAAAGCCAGACCTGCAAAACAACAGGACGGAGCTCAGAGTCTGCAGTCCATTGGGGGCCGGCGTCTAGTCCATTGGATCATTCTCCCTTTCGAAGGGATGAAACGTCCAAAATACCCAATACATCTTGATGCCCAATCGAGCCGGTGACCACTGCCACAACCAGGAATTTGTGTTCGTTGTTTTGGAATCAGGGGTTTTAGCCAACTCCTTTGCCAATGGTTCACCAACCCGGATATTGACTTTTCATCCTCTGACTCTCCACGCGAAGGTATTGAATGGGCAAATGGAGAAAAGCTGTGCATTGTAGGGCACGCTGACGACATCGTTTACATGTTCGAATGTATGGAGGATGCACAAAGAGCACTTGACAAATTAGCAATTTCTGTCGTTCCGTTCGGCATGCACTTTACATCTTAAACGTGCAAAGTGATGCTACAAGACTGGGTGTCGCCGAGTTCTGTTCTGAAACTAGACGATCAGGAATTAGTTGAAGTTGACTG